GTCATTACAGTAATGTAAATCAATAATATTATGTAAATGTATTTGTACATCATGGCAGTGTACTGTGTTTTATTTGATACAAATAAATTATGGTTTTCTTTTCTATAAGAATAACGTGATGATTATACTGAAATGCGCTTCATACTGTGTGAAATATTGTGGTGTGTTCAAAGCCCTCAAAACATAATCGATGAGCTATATTGACCCATTAACTGTCAACAATCCAGACACTAAATCTAAACACTAAACTGAATTAGAGTGTTCTTACTGTATACATTACTTTGCTATCTGGATAATGAATAAGCACAGTCAGTCAATCATTAGCTCAGAATAAATGATGATGACATGATGACATCATCTTAAATTATAAATTATTTGGAAAATATGAGGCAGACTTAATGGAAGTTTTTCCACATGAAACAGCAGTTGACTGTGGTGTACCACAGGGAAGTTGTTTAGGACTACTCCTGTTTTCTATATATACAAATGACTTGCAATTATTCTTAAAAAAATTAAAATAGCAATGTATGCTGATGACTCAATTATCTACTCATCTCAAGAAAATATTGAAGACCTTGAAATCATGCTTGGAAGAACTAAAGTCTGTAGAGTGGGTTACAAATAATAAGCTAGTTTTAAATGTATAATGTTTAAATGTGTACATATGATAGAAATGAATGAATGAATGAATGAATTAATTAATTAATGTGTTTGAATGCATCAGTGAAGCAAACACCAGTGTTATGTGCTCTTCAGCATCCTGGGCAAAAGCACATCACACTCCTGGTGAGCAGTGTCAGGTTATGTCGTGTTATGTTATGTAAACTGATTCATGGAATTTATACTTCATATGTGCCGTCAGTTTAGGATTTGTTACTAATTGCTGTTTTCATTTTCATTCAGAGCCACAAATGTTAACATCAGGCCCATCATCCTCATCATCATCATCATCATCATCATCAATACCAGTTATGGGAACATTTTGATAGCCTAATCGTATCTGTGAAACCCAGATCGATGATACACAATGCTACAGCTGATTCCACAGTAGAAGTGAAAAAATACCTCAACGCTGCGTTTTTGCCCAGAACTCATGATCCCCTAACTTACTGGAAAGAGCAGTAAGCTTTCCTCATTTGTATGTTCTTGTTAAAAAATATATTTGCATGCCAGCAACAAGTGTCTCTTGTGAAAGAATTTTTACAAAGGCTGGAGAAATGATCTGTAAAAAAAAAGAAGTAAGTCCTTTGACAGCAGAGAAATTAATATTTGAGTAATTGAATATTTGAATGAATAAAAATCTATAAGAAAGTGAAACACTGTGGCTTGATTTCTTTTATTCATTTTTCATGACCAAAATAAAACCATGCAATGTGAAGAGACTACAGGTTACAAGCTTCATATGTTATAAAAATTCAATAATAATTGTTCACACAGCACTCGTTCCGGGACTGATCCCTGCAATGTAACTATTGTGTGAAGACTCGGACTTAACTTTCACTCTGGCGACCTATCAGCTCCACCATGGGTAGTTATCCATCAAGCAGTTATCCATCAAGCTGTAACTCCCATACACACTTTGGTTCTTATTTAATTTGGTTTTATTTAATTTAGTAATTAATTGGTTAGTTGATTAATTAGGCTAATTGTTTACACCTGTTTGGCCTAATTAGGCTAAGACGTACAAAAAAATTTTTTAGAAGAAAATTCTCGAAAAAAACATACTTTTTAGGGGAGGGTGAGGGTGAGGGTGAGGGTGAGGGTGAGGGTGAGGGTGAGGGTGAGGGTGTGGGTGTGGGTGTAATTCAGAACCACCACTGCCATTACGAGACCAGTAACTTTCTCCAATGTTTACAGATTAAACAGGAACCCAGTGCGCCTGAATCTCTCTCTATTTCTGTTTAATTACATGATGGAAAGTCTAAGGCCTTCAAAAGCTGTACAGAAAACCCATCTAATCTGACGCCTATTACACGCCAAACTAAGATTGCTGTGGGGACAAAAAGTAAGACTGTTAATTTAGCACTTTTAAACATCCGATCACTTAAAAATAAATCACTTCTAGTCAACGACTTAATAACCACATACAACCTGGACTTCATGTTTCTGAATGAAACTTGGCTAGAAGACAGCTGTAGTGCAACGGTCCTAAACGAATCATCCCCTCCAAACTTTACTTATATGAGTGTCTGCAGAGCGGGTAAGAGAGGCGGGGGTTTAGCTGTTCTTTTTAAAGATGTTTATGAATGTAAGCAAATATCATTTGGGATATTTGCCCTCTTTCGAATATCTGGGTATTGTGTTAAAAGGTGCCCCTCGTATTTTACTTATCATTGTTTACAGGCCTCCAAAATACTCTCCAGCCTTTGCTAAGGACTTTACAGAACTGCTATCAACAATTGTCTCTGAGTTTGACTGTTTTGCCATTGCTGGAGATTTTAACATTCATATAGATAATGCAGAAAACAATATGGCAAAAGAAATCAAAACTGTTTTAAAAACCTTTGATCTGACTCAGCATGTACACGGTCCCACACACAATCGTGGACACACTCTAGATGTACTTATCAGTACGGGTTTAAACATCTCATCGATTGGTATTAAGTTATTATTGTCATCGATTGTTTCTTTGATATATTGATCCGCTAGAGCTGTGTGTCAAGAAGAGATGCTTAAATGAAAACACTGGTGTGCCATTTATGAAGGCTATATCTTTAAAACCAAGCATATCTGCTGACCCTGTTGATTTTCTCCTTGATTCTTTTAACTCAAAAGTTAAGAGTGTAATTGATGATATTGCTCCTGTGAAAGTCAGGAAGAATAGTGGCAGACAAAAAGCACTTTGGAGAAACAGTTTACTGTTTCAGTATGGTGCCAATTTTTTTGTTACCACCAAATATTTAACATATTCTTGAAGATATCTTTAAGTCTGGTTTGAGACCCAACCTTAGGTTATCCAGGTTATACTCTGGTCTTGGTCTCGACTTGGACTCGGCTCTCTTTGGTCTCGGTCTCGACTACAACACTGTTCCAACCCACCTTTCATATGAATCCTGGCAAAGAAAGCTAATGGCAGACGAGCAGATCTGGAGACATCGTCACATCAGCCTGACTCAATGGAAAAGATAAAAATAGCAGATAAAATACTCCCCTTTTTACATGAATCAGGTTATGGATCTTTCTCAATTTCAACATGAACACAATAGTAGTGATGTGACGTTCGGCACCGAGGCTTCGAAGCTTCTATCAAAGAAACGAAGCATCTCACGTGAAGCACTGTACCGAGCTTGATTCGTTTTGCCATAACCATGTGATCAGTGACGTCCGAAACTTCGTTTCAACACACAACCACGTGACTGCTTCATATTCTGATTTAAAAATAGCGTAAGCCTCTTACGCAGGTTTCGAGTGTCAATGCGCTTCGGTAGTGAATTGAGACCGACCAGAGAATGTCTAATTGAAGAAAATTGGCACTGGCTGGTTACTTCCGGCTTCTGAACTGGCTGCAGTAACGCGTCTCGGTCCATGCGGGGGCGCTTGCGGTCGAGTGCAGAATGAATGGGAGTCAATGGGGTTTCACCCCCAGAAATACACTTTTCTCAGGATGTAATGTTTTGTCAAGTAATTTGAACGTTGCATTCAAAAGGGACCGCAAAGATAATACACTCAGCTGAAAATTGCATTTTTAAGTTCACTTATCTGTTCTAAAAATCCGTTAAAAAATGTGATGATGTCACACAATAGCAGAATGCTAGCGTACTCCGGCCAACAACAGCCTAACCTGTAAGAAATCGAAAGGACATAAGTACTCGTTCATTCGACTTTTGGCCTATAATCTATATTGAACTTGCGGAATCAACAATAAAATCTATGTTAATTTAACGACAAGCAGGTGAAAGAGACGCATTTAGCCGTTTAGCCCCATAGACTCCCATTCATTCTGCTCTCGCCCGTGATCACCTCCAGTGGAATTATAATGGAACTGCAACCAAGATGATCCACAACGGGGCTAATAGGAAGTGCCAAGGCTCTCCGTTAGACGGGCTCTGGACCGACTGAGATTCACACAGTTCACAAGCACTTTCACTACCCAGCACTTCACTAGTATTCCACAAAAGTTTAATTTTATTTTGATTATATATGCCTATTAGCCTTGCCTATGAATTTATAAGGTGTAGGACTACGGCTAAAGTTTTAAGGCTGCATTGTTAAACAAAGTTAATTTGTCCTATGTATTACTTCATAAATTAATTCAAAGACTCATTTTGTTAATACATTGTGTAAAAATCAACTCTAACACTGATGATTTTTATAATTGCTTTGTGGTTTTCATAGCACAAAGTGATTTATTACATAAAACAATACAAAAAAATTGGGAAAGGTAGCTTTTCCACCTTTTGACCACAAGATGTCGTTAGTGTGCACTGTGCTGAAAAGCTTCGAGTAATGAACCAATTTACGATACACTTGAGGGGAAAGCCTCAGTGCTTCAGAAAGCTTCATTTCACCATCACTACATAATAGAGTCTTTTTGTAACAGCTCTTACTTCACGATTGAATTAAAACCCAGCCAACGTGACAGCTTGCTGGAACCAGTGGAAGAACCAGAGCAGCTTCTGGAATGAGCTTTTATATCTGTGCTGAGGTGCATGTTGGGAACTGGGAGAAACCAAGTGTAGAAGATGAAGGGGAATGTTTGTTTAAAAATGTAACAGTTTTTCAATGAGGAAACATGTATTCATGGTTTTTTTAATAATAATTTGTGAATTAGGCCATGTACAGAAAGTTTATTATATTGAGATTTGGTGGTTTGTTGAATTTTATTCCTTGTTGTTTGTGTTCCTGTCAGTGGTTTTGCCCATATTTATAAAGGCCCACAGGATGAACCTGCAGGATTTCCAGTCTGGGATGTAGATTGGAGACTGAACTGAACTGAACTGAACTGAACTGAACTGAACTGAACTGAACTGAACTGAACTGAAGGTAAGACCGTTATTTTTATTGTTGGTTATTTTTCACTTGTACTTAATTGGTGTTGTAGATCTCTACTCTTTCTGTATATTTGTATTTTCATTTTTGAAACTTTAATGCAGTACAAATGTAGTGATTGTAAACCAAGGCTTTCTGAAGCATTTTTAGGCTTTCATCAAACTGAGCCACTCCTTGATCCCAGTTTCACCGTCTTCATTAACACAACACAGCTGAACCAAATGAACTGGTCTCCGTTCTCTCCCAGTTCGTTGCTATGGTTACTGTCGTTGGGTTAATTTACCCCAGCTGTGTCTCGTTTCCTTGATCTGTTCTCTGTGTATTTAAGCCCTCTGTTTCTCCCTGGTCGTTGACTTGCATTACTTTAAGTTGTAGTTGATGTGTGTGGTTCTCCTCGTGGATTCTGCTGGTCACTGGTCTATTAAAGTCTCCTGAAGTTTTCTCCATCGTCGGGCGCTTTAATGCATCCACCATTTTGTAAGTGACATTTATGAGCACATATTTTATTGACTGTTCTACACTTAATTTGGATTTAATATTTAAGTGTTTTAAAATATTTCACTTTATCTGCTTTCACACAGATTTTTGGATTTTTTTTTTAATTATTACTGTTTCTTTAATTTGGTGTATCATGTTAACTGTTCTGTTTTCTCTGTAGATCTGAGATGTAAATGGGTCTGATGTGAACTCTATCACTGAGATCGGATCGTTTGTGTGGTTATTTGATGTCCAACGATCCATTTACAATCTGTTCTGCGTTTTTTTAAACACCTGTATTCCAGATATACCGTCTGTTGCTCTAATGAATTAACTTAATTTGATGATTTTGCTCCAGTGAGCTCTTGATTGGAATGAGTAGTGCATGTGTGTGTGTGTGTGTGATCTGATGATTTGTTTTTGCAGGAGCTGTTTAGGGATATAAAGGCACCTGAGTGAGTCAGATTTCAGATACAGAGGGTCACCACATGTAGTGAGCGGTGAAGTTCAGGTGAGATCCATTCATCAATGTGCACCCTAAATAACTCAAAGAATGACATGTTCACCGATGACCGTTTGTTAATGTTAATTTGTTAACTTGCCTATTTTGCCAACATAATCAATACTATACTTTGTAATTTTCTGTTTAAATGCTTGTCTGTTGTAAGTGTTTCTCAGGACCTCCACACGCTCTTAAATGGAGACTTATTTATATCGAGACTTATCGAGACTTATTCTTGTTTCTATGTGCTCTTCTCTGCACTTCATGTTCTATTAAACCTTTTCTTTTGCACCTCACACTGTTTTAACCCTAATATTATGTAAATAAACTTATTTTGGATGCAATTAATCATGATTTATCGTTTCACAGCCCTAGATTAGATTACACAGCCCTATGTGAATTGACTTAATTATTGTACTTCCTAATTTATGTAGTGAAGATGATTATTGACAAGTGTGTGAAACAAAGAAACTGGCTTAATTACACTAATTGTAAAAAAATTAAAAGTAAAAAGTGCAGGCATTGTATATTTAAGGGTTGAAACTCCACATGTCCAACTTCTTAAACAAATGTTACTGTTGAGCGTGTGTATACTTGTACACGAATGCCATGTTCCTTCTCAGCAAGCCGGCACTGCTAATCTACACTACATGAACGCCTTTTTTATTTTTATCTTTATAAAGCTGTATGATTAATTTGCTTTGTACAACACCATAGTCCTGAAATTGCTTCTTTTGTATATATGCCTTCACTTCATCTCATGTATCCAATTTAAGACTTGTTTGTCTGTCTATTGGTACAGTGGCCAATACTTTTACAAAATTTACAATTTTGTGTTTGTGCATTTATTCCTTTCTCTTGTCTTTGCATTTTTTTTTCTAAGCCCATTGTTTTTTGTTTGATTTAATGTCTTCCATCCATCTTTCATTTATGCTCTTTTAATTTTTTAGCAATTATGCTGTTCTATGTTCCTGTCCAATTGACTATTTAATGCCGATTCCTATTTTTCTAAAACTGTTCTTTTTTTGTATTGAAATGTAATGCATCAAATGTTTTGTCTTTACTGTTTGTGTCTTTTGTATATTTATGCACTTTTTTATGTTTTATTCTCTGCCTGTCTTCTGTATGTTAGCATTAGTGGCTGATCTTCTATGCCCATTTTCTGCTTTATGACTCCTATTATATTATATTACGTATCTTTCACTTGTTTCTTACATTTTCGGTCTACCTTTCATGTCATTGTTTGCCCCTTCTTGTATTGTAAAGCTTTTTATGCAAGTTTGACTTATGTCACAGGTATTATTTTGCAGGTTGGGGTGGGCCAATCTGACTGCATCCACCCCTGAGACCCGTACCACCCTTGGCGAGTCGGACAGAGCAAGGAGGACAGACGACAAGATTTGGGTAAAACAATATTTTTCATTGATAAATTTAACTAGGGGGAATGCAGGGTCGGGGATCTCTGATGGCAACTTCACTGGGAATCAGTCAGGTGATAACGTGACGCTTAATTTCTCTTGCAGGCCGGTGATCACGAAGCTTGCTGCAGGAGGGTTTCAGGCTGGAGGTCTTCACTGCAAAGCAGTCAGGTGAGTACGATCACGGAGTCCTCTTCTCTCAAAGGGCTAGCAGACACAGAGCTTGCAGCGGGGGGTCTCCACTGCAAAGCAGACAGGTGAGCATACAGGTACGTAACACTCTTCTTTAAGTGACGGAGGGAGAACTTGCAGCTGGAGGTTTCACTGCAAAGCAGTCAGGTGAGTATACAATCACGGAGTCCTCTTCTCTCAAAGGGTTAGCAGTCACAGAGCTTACAGCAGGGGGTCTCCACTGCAAAGCAGTCAGGTGAGTATACAGGTATGCAATACTCTTCTTTAAGTGACAGAGAACTTATGGCTGGAGGTTTCAGACATGTAATCCTTGTAAAGGTTTGTGTTTGTTGCTCCATCTAATTGATTCATCAATCTTTGATTTTCTTCTTTACCACTCATTTGTAAACAAGCACCTTCTATTTTTATAACATGTGAACTTATCCTCGATACTATAACTTGTAAAAAACAATTGGATTGCTTTATCGCTACTTGGATCCAATTTTCGAAATCTCGGCTACTAGCCTTTAGCCCGCTAGCATTTCAAAAAAGCTGTTCGGAGCTGTTGTGCTGAACGTGGGAGCGAACAACATCAGGCTGAGTTTCTGAAGGACTACAGGAGCCTGATCCAGATGATACGCAACGCATCGCTTGAAGCAAAGATCATCGTGTCTGGACCGCTTCCCACGTACAGACAAGGACAGGAAAGGTTCAGTAGATTATTTGCACTAAATTAATGGTTAATGTCATTGTGTAATGAACAGAAACTGCTCTTTGTAAATAATTGGAATCTGTTCTGGGAGAGACTTAGGCTCTATCATGCTTCACCCCAGCAGAATCGGAGCGGCTGTTCTGTCGGAAATCTCCAAGACGTTACACACCTAATGATCTGTAAGTCAAAGTCCAAATCAAAGTTTTTGTTGTCCAAACTTAATTGATATGCTTGGTGTGGAACATTATATTGAAACTGTGTCTGTTCCTCGTTTAGTGACGCCTGTGGAGAGACGACTCTGCCTGTGAGCTGCTGGATCGGGGGTCAGTGCTTGAAACATCACACGCCGATGCTCACAAGTCAGTGGTTAGTTTCTCTTTGACTGACTTCGTCTACTCCATGCGTTTCTCTCCCCAGGAGGATGCGATCATCTCTGGCTTCATTCACTCCGGCACGGGCAACACCATGGATCACACAGCGGAAGACACGAGCCAGGACCAGAGCTAGAACCTCTCCGCCGCCCCTCCCGGTCTTTGAGATCTCGACCTGGAACCGCTTCTCCCCTCTTCGCGAGTCGGAACGCAACGACGCCGTGATCATCGGCACATCCATGGTCTCATGTCCGCGCTACCTCAGGTAAGGGTAAGGTGCGCACTCACTGCTTTCCTGGTGCTCGTGTTCTTGATGTTGCTACACAGGTTCCCGAGATCCTGAACGGTAATGAGCGCGTCAGAGCTGTTGTGCTGAACGTGGGAGCGAACAACATCAGGCTGAGGTTCTGAAGGACTACAGGAGCCTGATCGAGACGGTACGCAACACATCGCCTGAAGCAACGATCATCGTGTCTGGACCGCTTCACACGTACAGACAAGGACAGGAAAGGTTCAGTAGATTATTTGCACTAAATGAATGGTTAATGTCATTGTGTAATGGAAAGAAACTGCTCTTTGTAAATAATTGGAATTTGTTCTAGGAGAGACTTATCCTGTATCGTGCTGATGGCCTTCACGCCAGCAGAATCGGAGCGGCTCTTCTGTCGGACAACATCTCCAAGACGTTGCACACCAGATGACTAGTAAGTCAAAGTCGCTCCTTTGAAAGTAGTGTTTCTCTTCGACTGTCTCTGCCTGTAAGGCTATCTTTTGCCATCCTAATACATGAGACTCACCCCATGTATATGCTTGTATAAAAGTGTTTTTTTTTTTTTTCCTCGGCTTTTGCTGCCATAGCTTAGCCTCATTTGTATAGACTTATTAGTCTTTCCTTCACTCTTTAACTTATTTGTTATGTGCACATCTAACCCTTTCTGTGTCTTCTTTAAATCTTTTCTAGATTTTTTTTTCCGACTAAGTTTCACTAGTCGTCTTCTAAATGATTTATCTTTTTTTAGAAAATAAATTTCTAATCCTTAAGCATATCCACGCACACACTATTTAGCAGGTGCTTAACTGTTCAATTACTGGCCAGAATTGAACAGTTAAAGCCCCACGTTGGGCGCCATGTTTCACGGTGTGTGTGCTTTAATCTTAACACCTTTTAACCTTATTATTTATTGTCCTCAGGTTAGGTCGAGTAAGTCAAATCTGACGTAAATCATAAGCATTTGAATGGTACTTGCAATTGTTCAGATGACTTCTCTGTGGTCCGTTCTTGCTTAAGGTTTATTAACACTGTTAGACAATTACTTGTAATTAGCATTAGTTATTTATTAATGTAAATATTCCAGAAATAAAAGTTAGGCTCAAACTTAAATTCTCTATGCTCAAACTCTGGAATCTACTCCTGTGTAAGGGAAATCATTATGGACATCAGCAATGCTAATTATTTCCCATCTGTTTTCTGCTGTTGTCTCGGGACGCTTGTCCCGAGAAAAATGGCGTTCGTCAACTCCAGTTTGTCTGAGCTGTTGTGCTGCACGCGGGAGCGAACGACATCAGGCTGCGGCAGACGGAGGTTTTGAAGGACTACAGGAGCCTGATCAAGACGGTATGCAGCACATCGCCTGAAGCAACGATCATCGTGTCTGGACCGCTTCCCACATGCCGAAAAGGACGGGAAAGGTTCAGTAGACCGTCTGCACTAAATGAATGTTTAATGTTATTGTGTAATGGACAGAAACTGCTCTTTGTAAATAATTGTAATCTGTTCTAGGAGAGATCTAGGCTGTATCATGCAGATGGCCTTCACCCCAGCAGAATCGGAGCGGCTGTTCTGTCGGACAACATCTCCAAGACGTTACACACCTAATGACTAGTAGGCCAAAGTCCAAATCACAGTCTTTGTTCAAACTTAATTGATCTGCTTAGTGTGAAACATTATATTGAAACTGTCTGTTCCTCGTTTAGTGACGCCTGTGGAGAGACGACTCGACGCCTGTGAGCTGCTGGATCGGCGGTTAGCGCTTGAAACATCACACGCCGATGCTCACAAGTCAGTGGTTAGTTACTTTTTGACTCTGACTTTGTCTAATCCATGCGTTTCGCTGCCCAGGAGGACGCGATCATCTCTGGCTTCATTCACTCCGACACCGTCACAACACAATGGACCATGGATCACACAGCGGAAGACACGAGCCAGGACCAGAGCTAGAACCTCTCCGCCGCCCCTACCGGTCTTCGAAAGCTCGACCCGGATCCGCTTCTCCCCTCTTCGCGAGTCGGAACGCGACGACGCCGTGATCATCGGCACACCCTTGCTACCTCAGGTAAGGGTAAGGTGTGCACTCACTGCTTTCCTGGTGCTCATGTTCTTGATGTCGCTGCACAGGTTCCCGAGATCCTGAATGGTGATGAGCGCGTCGGAGCTGTTGTGCTGAACGTGGGAGCGAATGACATCAGACTGAGTTTCTGAAGGACTACAGGAGCCTGATCGAGACGATACGCAACACATCGCCTGTAGCATCGATCATCGTGTCTGGAAAGCTTCCCATGTACAGACAAGGACAGGAAAGGTTAAGTAGATTATTTGCACTAAATGAATGGTTAATGTCATTGTGTAATGAACAGAAACTGCTCTTTGTAAATAATTGGAATCTGTTCTAGGAGAGATCTAGGCTGTATCGTGCTGATGGCCTTCACCCCAGCAGAATCGGAGCGGCTGTTCTGACGGACATCTCCAAGACGTTATACACCTAATGACTAGTAAGTCAAAGTCGCTCCTTTGAAAGTAGTGTTTCTCTTGGACTGTCTCTGCCTGTAAGGCTATCTTTTGCCATCCTAATACATGAGAATCACCCCATGTATATGCTTGTATAAAAGTTTTTTTTTTTTTTTTTTTTCCTGGGCTTTTGCTGCCATAGCTTAGCCTCTTTTGTATAGACTTATTAGTCTTTCCTTCACTCTTTAACTTATTTTTTATGTGCACATCTAACCCTTTTTGGGTCTTCTTTAAATCTTTTCTAGATTTTTTTTTCGACTAAGTTTCACTAGTTGTCTTCTAAATGATTTATCTTTTTTTAGAAAATAAATTTCTACTACTTAAGCGTATCCACGCACACACTATTTAGCAGGCGCTTAACTGTTCAATTACTGGCCAGAATTGAACAGTTAAAGCCCCACGCTGGGCGCCATGTTTTATGATGTGTGCTTTAATCTCAACACCTTTTAACCTTATTATTTATTGTCCTCCGGTAAGGTCGAGTGAGTCAAATCTGCCGTAAATCATAAGCATTTGAAAATCATAAGCATTTTAATGGTACTTGCAATTGTTCAGATGACTTCTCTGTGGTCAGTTCTTGCTTAAGGTTTATTAACACTGCTAGACAATTACTTGTAATTAGCATTAGTTATTTATTAATGTAAATATTCCAGAAATAAAAGTTAGGCTCAAACTTAAATTCTTTATGCTCAAACTCTGGAATCTACTCCTGTGTAAGGGAAAGCATTATGGACATCAGCTATGCTAATTATTTCCCATCTGTTTTCTGCTGTTGTCTCGGGACGCTTGTCCAGAGAAATGGCATTCGTCAACTCCAGTTTGTCTGAGCTGTTGTGCTGCACGCGGGAGCGAACGACGTCAGGCTGCGGCAGACGGAGGTTTTGAAGGACTACAGGAGCCTGATCAAGATGATACGCAGCACATCGCCTGAAGCAACGAT